CAAAAAAAAAAAAAAAAAAAAAAAAAGGTTGGTAAGAACTTGCAATGCACAAGAAATGTTTTAAGCACACCAATCAAAGAAAACATCGGCTCAAATTAGAAGCCAAAAGTACATTTCTCAATTGCCTAAAATCTGTAATTTGATTCCTTTTGTAAAATCTCTTTATACCTGTCACAACAAGGCTGCAGCTTGACTTTGGCCTTCTAGCCTCAGGCTGGGGTTGCTCCAGTTTTCAGGTTCTTGCAGCCAGTGCCAGGCTGGTGACACCAAGTAAGCACTGACTTTGGGGCTCTCAAAGCTGGGAGATCTCACATCCAGTCTCCATTTCTTGCTTTGCCCTGTGGAGGATGAAGTCCATAGCTACCAGGATCAGGGTTGTAGCCTGGTGCATGATCTCTATGTTTAGTTTCCTAAGCACTCCCAGGCACCACTTCAATTGCCCACTGCAGCTTGGCCTTTGGCCCTTTTGTTTTCATTTAAGTCTTGCTTCATGACAGCCTTCTCCCATCACTTCCTTCAGGCCACAATTCCCACCACCTGTCCACGCCTGGAAACCTGCCAGCCTAGGGAGGGGCAGTGAGTAGTGGCTGGACACTCCCAACAATGTTGAGACATTCTGCCTCAGTGATGGTGCCTTCCTACCCCAGACCAGCTGGGTCTGTCAGTCTCTGTTCTCTGCTTCCTACACTCTGAGTCTCCACATCCCATCTAGCTCAACCCTGTCCTGAGCCCTGCTGGACACATGGTTGGCTATGGGCAGCTGCCACCCCTGCAAAGCAAGAAAGGCCTAATGTCTCCCAAAGCCCAGTCTGTATTAATGTCACAGAGAGCAAAGGGACTACCCAGGTAGGTTTTCTGTTTATTCCACTTGGGTGTGAGTGGGCTGAGTCCAAAAAGAGAGTCAGCACTCAGTAAAAGGAGAACAAAGGCTTTAGGGAAGAGGGAGTTGCTTCAGAGAGGAGTTGCTGCCTTGAGGAATCAGGGCAGAGAGAGTGTGGTCATGCTTTTCAGAACCGATGGTTTAGATGTAATGAAGTTTCCTGGAACTGAGGAGTTGGGATATGGTATGTCTTGTCTTTGTTCTTTGAAGTTTCCTGTTGTGTTTTCCAAGAGCAGTATTACCCATCAGGTGTGACATTCCTATCTTTTTATTGTTAAACAGGAAGGGACAGTCAAAGAGATGGGCACTATTTCTCATGGATTCTATCTGTGGGATGTGGGCAGTGCAGACACCTTAATCGGGAGAAAGTGCTTAAGGGATAAGAAGGTACAAGGGCTAGTCAGAACTAGCATTGGTGCATTGACTGACTGGTGATATACTGAACTCAAATTTGTAGAACCTGTGAAAAAACCCTGAAGATGCATGCCCAAAGAGGAGGATGAGAATAGAGACAAGAAGCTTAGTTAACAAATGGAGTCAGGAGGCCCAGTCCCAAATATTGTTCCAAGAGTTGGACAGGTGTTGCCCAATTTCTGAAACCTTTTCAGTTAGTCTTTTTTGCTGCATCTCACACTATGCCTGACTGGTTGGTATAAAAACAGCATTCTTCTCCTAGAAAGGTGCATAAGCCACTTTTTTTCAGTGATGAAAAGATCTAGGCCCCTATGACTTTGGAGGGTGAATGCTGCCAGGTATTCTATCTGGGTCTGTAAGTCTAGAATGGATTTAGCAATTTCTTAGAGGCTGTCAGAGAGATCTTTGGATAGGGAATGATAGTAGGATGGGGAGGCAGCTAAAGTTGGAATCCCTACCCCTGTGACAGTGGTGACACCCAGACTGACAAACAGGGGTATTTGTCATAGGGCTCTACATTGTCAGATCTGGGGTCTAGGCGACTGTGAGGCTCTGGTTTCCTGGGGCAATGTCTTTTTTTTTGGTACTGGGGATTGAACAATGTCTATTTTTGGGCTGAGGTATGTTGTTGTACAGGTGCCAGTCCAGTTAGTGGGGAGGCACAAGTAGGTGGAAGTCACACAAATGAGAAAACAAACAAACAAACAAACAAACAAAAAAATCCCTTGGCAGGGTTAGCAGAATTGGTTGTTGACAAAGAGGTATGTGAGTCTTTGGTTTTTTTCCCCCCATAGGCCCAGAGTACTTGCCAGGGCAGTGCCTGTCAGGGGCTGAAAGGGTCCCTGATGGGATATTTGACTGGTGCCTACTGTTCTGTTTTCCCATTGTAGGAAAAATCTTTTGGTGTCTATTAGAAGCTATCATGAGAAGTCATTAAAGATAGGCAAGAGGAAGCAATCTGAGCAAGTGGTAGATTCATAACAAGGGGTCCATGGATGCATGATCATGCGTGGCAAGTGGCACTTGTTAGTGAAATATGTTTATTGAGCAGTGGTGTTGTAACCTTGGGAGGGACTGAAAAATGCATAGGCTGAGTGAATGTGGCATCTTGAGTGATCTGGTAATTGACATGGTTGGCTGGGACCAGTAACAGTAGTGTATAGTTACACTGAGTAGATGTCCTAGTGGTGTGCTGGAGGACAGAGTATGCTGATAACAGATGGGCTTGGAAGGTCAGAGTAGTATCAGTGGTTATGGGGCCACATATAAGCTTTGTTAAACTTTCATATACAGAGAGGTTAGTGACATCTGAAAGAGTCAGGCTTCATGTTCTGTCTGAGTTTTTTTGGCCATGTCATTGATGTGGAAATCAGTCAAGGATTTTTTGTGGAAGAGTTGGAGTGGACCTTTTGTTTCATATTGGGGGTGATAGGTGAGGTTAGTAAGAACCTAGACTTGGGTAGGGACTGGTGTGGCTACATAGGTAGCTGCAGACAACATACAGATACAGAGCCAGCAGTGTTTGGCTAGGGATAGATCGGACTGGTTTAATAGGGAGTTAACTGTAAGGTACTGTAGAGATAATTAGGTGCTGTTTGGAGAAGTGGTGGGGGTGCAGCTGTAGGGTGCAGTGAAAGGATAGGAGGGCTAGCCAACGAAAAGAGCACAGAGAAGAAGAGGAGGGAAACCTAGTTAGGATGAAGGTGAGTGTGGTCATGAGAAATGATTCCAATCCTGAGGCAAAAAACAATTGATTTGAAACCATAAGAACATTGTAAGTAAAATCCACAGGAGAGTACACAGTAGAAACATAAGAGTGTTTAGGGTCCTCTCTATCAATCATTAATACATAGTTCTTTTTTCTTCTAAAGGGAGTCTTGAAACCCAGAAAGATCAGAGCCAACCAAATGCGGGAAGCAGTGAAGTGGCAGGAAAGGCAGGCGGCAGGGTGTTCAGGAATTCTGAACAGCCTGAGGGAAGTAGGGGAGATTACTTGCAATTTCCACGAGGAGGTGTCAGGTGAGTTATCAGTAGGGCACAGCTCTACCTGGCAGTGATATACCCAATGGGGTCTCATAGATAGCCATTGAGGCACTGTAGATGACTAGGGAGTGTCCTGTCTACTTAGGCTATAAAGATGGGGTGTTTTAATCTTTAATTAGGACCAATTTGTTAGCCAGGCTATTTCTGTAAGGCTGGGTGTCAGGAGAAGGTAGGAGAAGGTTAGCAGCATGTCATATCTCTTTTCAGGCCTGTTGCAGAACTGGGAGATAGTTTCTGATGGGGCTGGCCTCTGGGCTGAGGTTTGGCCCAAGCAGAAAGGTGTGGCCAAATATAAGCTCAAATGGACTGTATCCTGTACATTCTGGTGGATGGCTCAAATGCAAAGGAGAGTGAGCGGGAGCAGGAATGTGTAGTCTGTGGAGCTGAAATGTTAGCTTAATGAGGTGGGCCTTAAGGAGGCCAGTATAGGCTCTCTCTACCTTCCTGGCTGAGTGAGGCTAGTTGGGGGTATGAGGGTTCCATTGGACATTAAGTGACTTGGACACCTCCTGGGTAACGACTAATGAGAGCTGGACCATTGTCTGATTGAATGCAGGTGGGAAGATCAAACCAGGGAATATTGGCTAGGAAGGAGTTAATAATGGCTGAGTCTTCTCTGAGCTGGTGGAAAGTCCTCCACTCATTCAGTAAAAGTGTTGACCCAGATCACTAAGTATCTTAGCTTTCACACTTGCAGCATGTGGGTGAAATCAATTTGCTGGTGCTGAGTTAGAGAAAAGCCCTGCACTTGATGTATAGGAAAAGGAAGACACCTCAGAAAATCCTGAGGTGTGGGTACTTGGCAGACAATGAGCAGTGACGGTTTTGAGAAAGGTCTTCCAGGAAGGAAAGCAGATAAGAGGCTTTAGCAGTCAGATGAGGGTTCTGCAGACTTTGTGAATGGACCGTATCTAGTGATTTTAAATGTTTGTAGGAGTCAGCCAGCCTGAGATGGTGGGGTCAGGCTGTTTGGACAGGAAAGCGATCAGACGTGGGCTTGGACCTTGCATCATAACCCCTGCTTCACATCCTGTGTTCTACTGTATAGACGCTGAAGGGTTGGAAGAGTTCTGGAAGGGCCAAGGAGGAGGCCACGTTTAGGGCCTTTTTAAGGACTGAAAGGATGAGTGAGGGAAGGTCTTGTGATCTAAGGCCTCAATCATGTTTCCCATTTTGAGTTTATAGAGGGGTTTAGGGAGGAGGGCAATGCCAGGAAACCTAGGTGGAAGGAGCCTATTATGACAAGAAAGGAAAGCAGTTGCTGTTTGGTGGTGGGGGTTGGGATCTGGGAAATCAAGTGGATGTGGTCTGGAGGTAGAGCTCAGGTATGTCTGTGGAGAATGATACCCAGATAGGTGATGGACAAGAAAGATCACTGGGCTTAGAGGGAGACACAGTATCCCTTTGAATCCAGATGCTGTAGTAAGAGGGTGTTTTTACAGCATGACTCGTAGAAGGGGCTACAGAGGAGGAGGTCATCTACATATGGTATGAGATGGGAGGAAGAGAGGTGAAAGGAGAGCAAATCATGGGCAAGGGCCTCACTGAAGGGTGTGGGGGGTCTGTTTTGGAAACCTTTTGGCAAAATGGTCCATGGTAGCTGATGGGACTGATGGGTTTCAGGGTCTGTCCAGATGAGGGCAGAGAGGCTGTGAGGAATATAGGGGAATAGTGGAAAAGGCATCCTTTTTTTTTTTTGGTACCAGGGATCAAACTCGGGTCCTTGCTTGCGAGGC